CATTGCTACTTTGCTAAAAATTGCAATTCTTTGGTGGAAAAAAGAAGGTAGATATAACTACAAATTTAAATGTAAAATATTTTGCTTATATAAAGATAACACTATATTTAAATCTTAATTGTCCTACATTCCGAGTTTTTTAAAGTAAACTTTGAAAGTTAGTTATTTATATTTTATAAGAGGCACAAATAATACCGTTTTTATAAAATACAAGGGTCGGTAATATAAACAATTTTTTTTCTCAGAAAATTTAATTCCTATAAACTATGGTTATTAACAAACATTTAGTTATTTTTCTACAAAGTTATCATTAAGAAAAGTGGTTGTGAAACCCTCAAGAGTCGCAACAAGGAATTTGACGGGTCTGGAATACAGCGTTTGATTCAAAGATGGCAAAAGTACGTACAAAATGATAGTGACTTTGTGAGAAAAAAACTGGATATTTGTTAACGACTGAAGATTATATCATGTAAAAACCATAGTTGCAGGAATTCAATTTTCTGAGAAAAAGAATTGAATGCATTACTTTCGTACCTCATACTTGCATATTATAATCGTATATTTAGTTAGTTTACTATATTTATATACAGGGTGTCCGTAAAGGTCGGGACTAAATTTATATAATGCCTTAATGATATTTAGTAGGTGAAAAAAATTAATGTGAACCTAGAACCTTAGAATCGGTGAAGTGTATCTAATCTGAATAGTTACCGAACAATACTGCTCGTCAAACTTTGAACACATATAATTTTTTAATAAAGTGTTTTCGGACATAGGTTTATACAAACCTTTTTTATCTACTGAATCCTAACACACTCTATAAGCTTAGTCCCAACTTTTACGGACACTCCTATATAAAATTCAATATTCTAAATATAGTATCTATTATATTTTACGATCACTACATCAAAATTTTATATAAAAATTTAAATCTTTTTATAATCTAGATTAATTTTTTATGAGTAATATTTTATAAATTTTTATTTTAAATTATATTTGTTATTAAGTTTTTAATAAAATTTTAAGGTTTTTATATCATTGTATCATACAAATTTTATTACAAAACTAAATTTTTATCATCCGTAATACATTTTTCTATTTTTTTGAAGCTCTCATATCTATAATAGATATGATCGCGAACGATTGGAGAACACCGAAAACTTCATGGGAGAAAATGAGGATGATTACACGAGCACAGACTGCTCGTACAATTACTAAGTGTGCATATTGCCTAATGACAATCAGTTTCTTTGTTTTGTTAGTTTTGCCTGCTTGTAATTTTTCAGTGAGATATGTGACAAATATTACTGATCCAGGCAGACCATTACCAATACAATCGCGTTATACCTATGATATAACTAAAAGTCCACATTATGAGTTAACATTTATTTCTCAAGGTATAAGTACGTTTTTATGCATGATATATTACATAGGTGCAGATAGTTTTTTTAGTTTCTTGGTACTTCATATCTGTGGTCAATTGGACATACTAAGAAATCGCATTCTGCATTTGGAAATAATAAATTATGCTTACAATTTGAAAATGTGTGTGACGGATCATACGCGACTACTCAGGTATCGCATTCCTAATCTTATATTTCATAAATATATTTTGATCTTATATAAGTATAGACATAAAAATTATACATTAGAAAATTAAAAAAAAATTTTTACATATAAATATTAATATATTATTTATTTCTTTATAGAAGTATCGTTCTCGTAGAACATACATTTAATATCATGATGCTTGCATTATTTTTATACTTTGCTATTCTCCTTTCCTTTTATGGATTTCTTATTTTGGATGTAAGTTTATAAAAGCTTTTAATATACAACATAATAATTTGTTTACAGTGCTTTGTGTGTCATATAATTTCGAAACATATAAAGATAATATATATTATTATTTACACGAATCGAGTGTCCTATATTATTATTTGATTCGTTGATTTTGAATTAATTTAATCTAAAAATTTAATCTAAAATATGTGACTTTACGGCAAAATATTGAAGACATACATCTAAAAAATAAAAGTTTTTCTTATGATAATATAAGATACGACTTAAAATTAGTTAAAGGACTTGATAATGAAAATAGTAACTATAAAATACTCTACATACATTGATGTGGACATCTCTATGGCTACTTCAACTGTGTAATAGTTATTAATTATATTCTATATTTTTGTATTTCATAATGGAACGACTAGCTTTCGGAGGGTGGAAATGACTTATCGATTTTTCGAGCGGCATATCTCATAAGTGTTATAATCAATTTCGTTTGTCACTCGTGCCTTTATTGCGCTATCGGTGAAATTTTATTATTGCAAGTAAATTAGAAACTCCTTAATTCTTGTAGTAATTTTTCCGACTTTTTATACAATTAGTATTTTAACTTTCCAAAAAATGGTGCAATTAAACAAATTTACACTTCTATTAAATAAAATTTACGTAAATAAATGCTATATAAAACTTTATGAATATATCAGTCAAAATTTATCATTTACATGTATTATTGTTAAAATATACATTATTATTATTATTATTATTATTATTATTTTATATCTAAATATATATGTATTTGTGTGTGTGTGTGTGTATTGCACAAAACACACGTATGAATTTTATTCGTGTAGTCATATTCTGTCTAAAGTTTTTAATTAATTTTTCAATAAATTTAAGTGTAAACGTATCCATTATGCTGCATATTCTAATAAATGGTATAATCTGGAACCACGAAATTCACGGAATATGATTCTTTTAATGGTCAGAACAAATGAATCTGTCTATCTTACTGTTGGTAGATTGTTCCCTTTAACAATGTCTACATTTTCCAACGTAGGTTATTAAAAATTTTTGCTATAATTTTTATATAAATGATATGTTATTATATACAACATATATGTATTGCAACACGTATAGTTTTGTATAATATATAAAATAGATATTATTTTTTTACATCTCCTTGCATGGTAATTATATATCTTATTATATTTTACTGAAATAATTATATTTTTCAGCTAATAAAAACATCTGCTAGTTATATTTCTGTTTTACTTACAACAAAACAATAACTTTAAAACTATGATAAATTTACGTTAGTTAACATTATAAAAATTATATCACTATTCCAACTTTATTTAAAGTTACAAACGCAAGATGAATATCAAAGTTTATTAAATAAAACTTTGGAAACATTAAAACTACTCCTAATATAAGAAAAAAACTAATATGAAAAAAGGCTACATGTTTCACTATTATTAAGAAATAAATGTACATAGTTTATACATATATATATTTTTATTGGATTTAAAATATGTAAGTAATTATTTAAAACAAGTAATAGAAGTGAGAAATTGTAAAAGTTCAACCGCTATTATATAAAAATAGATAAAATTACTTCCTTTTAGTAAAGGTTATTGTATTTATCCATATGAATAAAATTGTATGCACAGTTTTTGGTAAGCATATATATATATATATATATATATGTGAAGTAAATAAAATCTTTATTGTACCAATGACACAATTTTATTTTTGCTAGCTATAGGAAGGAAACTATTAAAAGTTCGAGCACCATCCAATTTTTTCAGAATTCAATATATACGTCTAATCGACTATAAGTGCGTGGGACATGAGGGATATACATCATGCCATATATTCGCTCCAAAGGACAATAGCAAGACCATCCACCTGTTGTTATCCACGTTTTTGTGCACGCACACTTTTTTCATCACTTCGCATTAAGAGGCGTAACCTTGCAACAAGAGATGCTTGGAATATTGAAGGGAGTTTATGGTAAGTTATCATCGTACAATGTAAAAATTTTTATTGCGTGCATACGCGTTGTCTGAGAGGGTAACGTTGATCTGTGACAGAGGGACAGAAGGTAGTCTCTGAGCAGCATTCATCATGAATACTTCGAGAAACTCGGAATACGGAGGTGCTCGAGAATTATCATTCTCGTAGAAGTCGCGACAATAGTCTTGATGAAGATCAATTTTAGTTTATAACGTCATTGTATGACAAATTCTTAGGACATACAGTTAACATTGTGCAACGTTAAAAATCAACATTTTTTGGTTCAGTTTTACAATATGTGAACTAAAGTGATTAGTGCGGATAAAAAAGTAATAGAGGAGAAAGGGATAGCTTTAAAACAATTATGCGAGTGTCATTCTATAATCGCACACTCATATGCACAATTTAATTTGAATTATTGCAGTACATTAAATATTATAAACTTCTTTTACAATTAAGAACAATTTAATTTATCAAATTTTTTCAATGAGTAGATTTTGAATGGACGGTGAAATTAAATTATTTTAGTCTAGTATTGATTAGATTTTGAACAATGGATAAAAAAAGTTGGCGAGAAAGGCCATTGCGTACCGTTTGTTTTCTTTTCTATATTAATCATGTGTACAATTCCATCATTGCATTCAGTAACAAAAGTTCGTAGAAATATCTTGCTGCTCATAGACTTACAATTTACTGTACCAGTAATGACTAATATACTCGCGATTTTTTGGTGGAAAACAAAAGGTAATTGTATAATTTATAAACATCAAATATTAAGTGCTACTGTCTAAACGGAACAACCAAACATTATAAAAACACCTATTGCTTATTAATATCGTTATATTTATCATACACAATTGTCTGAATTGTATACACGAAATGTAGAATGTAAAATTATTATTATTAACCGTTTGTATCGGCGAAAAGCGCAAGAATTCAACAGGTAAGTGCAACCCTTTGCTTTGTTATTTTCTTCCTATTAAGGAAAGAAAGAGGTTTAACTTTTTCTCCAACAGAATTGCGAGAAATTTTAACATCAAAACTTTGACAATAAGGCAGTTCCCATCCCTTTGAAATATTAAAAATTGCGCCTAAAGATAGACTCAACTATAATTGCGACGTTTTTTACACGAGCATGCGTGACAGCACTCGTCTCACATCAGTCTCATCAAAGCAGCGGAACAGTTCGGAGTCTTATGGCCTGCGATATGAGTACTAATGAACTCTCGGGATACGCAGGTGCTTGTACATATGCGACACAGTATTTGCATGCAACATAGTTTCTTACATGTCTCATAAACATACAGCATAAAAATATTAATCTGTAGATTCTATTTTTTTTATTGCTGTTACGTTAAAATACTAAATAAGATGAATGTTAGCAAAACGAAAAATAATTTTGTGAATTTTTTCGCATTTGCAACTACGATTGTAAATTAAGAAGATGCTAAATTTTGAGCAAATTCTTATCATAATTTACCATTTTTTAAATTAGCTTGGTTTGCTTTCAGATTTTGAGTGGGCGGTTCAACTAAATCGTTTCAGCTTGAAAATGATCGGTCTTTGGCCGGAAGAAACTGGCAGCTCACAAGAGAAGCTGTTTTCAAATTTACGATTTTCATGCGTCATCATCGTCATCACTTGCGTCTGTACTACTCCTTCGTTATATTTGCTACTGAAAGTTTGGGGTGACATGATGGCAATGATAGACAATATTTTATTCACTTTACCTTTATTGTCGCTCTCCATGAAACTGTTCATTATGTGGTGGAAGAAAGAAAGTAAGTAAATAATGAAATGGATGAAACACTAGTATACACGACAATTACATCTTATTTTGTAGTTTAAATTTCCACAATAGATTTTTGACATTAAAAAAGAATTAAAATTTTTACATTTTGAATCGTTTTGAATGTTAAAGTTTTTGTAATATACACCATCTCATCTATTTTAAAATAAAATTTTATAATGCGAATATTCCCAACATTTTCTACTGTTTATTTTAACACTGTTTGTTATGGAATACGTCTGCATAATTTTATATTACAATATATCTTTATTAAATTTTTTGTTTAAATTTTTTGACCATGTTATAATAATTTCCATTTAATATGCGCATAAATAACCAATCCTTTTCTCAAGCATTGTCGTCATTAATGACCATGATCGTTCATGACTGGGTCAAATCAAAATCCCGCGACGAGCGAGACATTATGATGCGTCGTGCTCAAGACGCTCGTCTAATTATCATGTTCAGCTATATCATAATGGGTT